TTCCCTTTGTTCGCCTTAGTGAACATACTAATTGACATTGGCATTTAAAATGCAGCTATTTATTGAGTGTCGTATATTGAATTTGAGGAATACACTGTCTCTCTGTACAGGTAAGAGGAGAAAATGATCAGACCACAAATTCAGAATCATACTCAATAGAAAGGTGGAGCTAATTAGTTCATACATCTAATGTGTGTGTGTGTCTGCCTGTTTGTATCACCTTCACTAACAATCTGATCACATGATCACTTAGTATTGCAAGTTTGCTTGACAAGTGATCGTGGCCTTTTGTCAATCAATAAAAATCTTGTTAAAAATAATTAATGAAAAGAATTAACTAACTAACAGTGAAATGGAATGAACACGAAATAGGAAACAGACAACGTGAATGGAGAAGAAGACTCTTCACAGTGTCATTGTAATCGAAGTCATCTCGAAATGTCCGCACAAAAACTTGTCAAACAAACAGTTTGAATGAACGAGGAATGACCATTCAGCATGTCTGTATTTCATGATTTCGTTGTTGCTAGTGTTTTTGTAATTACCAGGTAAGTATCATCTGACTGAACATTCGATAACTGATAATCTCACAAATAAATGTGACTACCTGATTGTGTCAAAAGTATAATTTATAGCAGTTATCAACTAGACATTCGACGTAGTGAAAACCATTACATTTTCAATCAATCAACATGCACGAATAAAGTCCACTGTTCGACATGCCCATTCTTGTTGAACAGGTTTCGAAAGAGAAATTCAGAAAAATGAAGCTAGTTGATGATAAATTTTGAATTGTATAACACCTACAGATATGCGTTTACCTGCCTATTTACCCAAGTGAACACATTCACACTGTAATATTCCTCCTGTCTACATGATTAGTAGATGACTATGAAACAGCTAATGAAAACAAGTTTATCAGAAAACTCAGTTGTTAACTGAATTATTATCATCATAGAAATAGGTCAGTAACTGTTTTATTAGGTTTCCGTTGTCAGTACCCATCCGCTTATACTCTTGTCTTATCAACATTCATTGTTTCTTAGTAGAATTCAATTATCCCAATTTATTGTCTCCTCTTCACAATCCTCTGTCAAGTGGTGGTTTTCAATTCCACTCACTGATCAATAATCAACTAACAACCAATTAACAACAACTTTTTCTATTCTTATACAACAATTGTGTGTGTGTGTGTTACTCCACTTATACATACATGCACACACACACACACTTTACAGGTAGGAATTCTCTCCTTACTGTTATTCGTCATGATTCTTCTGATTGTTCACTTATCCTCCTTGTTCACAGTCAACATTTAATTGGACTGTTATCGGATCATGAAAATTTGTGCAATTCAAAAAACACAGACACACACACACACACACTTCGTCATACAAGTTTGTTCATGAAGAAGGACAGAGTAAATTTTCATTGCCATCAAAAGAGAGAAATGTAGAGGTCAGACAATTAAGCAGAAATTAAAATTCGGTGTTGTTGATCATGCATACAAGTCAGAGGTCAGAAGTTATTCTACTCTCTCTCCCTCTATCTCTCTTCTCAATAACACATCACCTCATCATCATTTCACTTCAGCTCTCCCCACACCACCTACCTACCTCAACCGATCTAGTCTTATGCTAATAATCTAAATATGTATATAGTTGAAAATTATGCTAATTCAACTCCAACATCCTCATCCTCACACTCATATCACATCCACCGACTGCTCACTCCACAACACTCCAACCCAATCAATCAAAGCACTATGTTATTTGAAGTCATCAATTATTAGGCTTGTGACTACAAATAAATTGATCAATGAAACAGGTTAGCACACTAACTGATTGATCCACAATACAATAGAACGAGTTGATCAATGATGTCATACAATTGATAGTTGCCAAAATTAATTTGACTGATTCAGTTTATTAGATGTAACGTCGTGCTTCATGTAAATGATTACACCACCAATAACAACTATGGATTATCACTAATCATGAGGGAATAATCATATCGGCAATGATAAACGATAGTCGACATGATCCCCATTCACTGATACACTACTCCTCATTGAACTGCATCGTTTGGACAGGGAAGAGAGAGAGAGAGAAACAGTTACGTTTACATTTTGTAACATCAATCAACACGATTACGTGTACATGACGAGATTGTGACAACGAAGTGGGAGAGATGATGTAAATGACAGAGGTAATCATTATCTCGATAATTTCTATTATTATTATTATTATTATTATTATTATTATTATTATTATTATTATTATTATTATTATTATTATTATTATTACTGTCAATTTAAGTTAATGTGAAATTTGAAATTCAAAATGGCAATTCCATTTTTTATTCAAAATATGTGCACGTTTGATTGACAGTTGTTGTATGAAAAGTGTGTGTGAAAGAGAGAGACCGCACGAGTTATACACGTTACATCATCTAAATTACACACACACATTTTTAACTTAAATAATATTCGATCCTTTTTAGACTGTACAGCATTTCTGTGTGACCACAATGTACCAATCGTCAAGTTCTTTATTTACTTCAGAAAACCAAACTCGGGAGGATGATATAACCACGTGACTGTGAATGTCCGTCTGTGAATTCACACATATGTGTGTTATGTGTCTGTACAATTGTACGTGGTCATATTCACCGAATAACTGCATTTCGTTTACTAAATCAATCAGCTTTTGCATGAATACAGATCACAGTCTATCGATATCTCATTGTTCTCTTCATCCATTCTTTCCTATCCTATTTCAACTGAATTCCACTCTCTACTGTCATACACTTCATTTGAACTGATATTTTGAAATGTAGATGGAAACAAGTATCATTTACACCATACATCTGTCAACATATTCTTCTCGATAATATTGTTCATCATTATTGGATATTACTTAGTTCAGTTGAATACACCAATCCATAAAGTATAATTCAGGTTGGAGACAGAGAAAGGTGAGGAAGGAGAACCAAAGTGAGGGAGGTGTGCAAGAGTAGTTGTAGAGTCACCGGAAATCAGTTAAATGTCTATGAGTGTGTGTTTTATGATGAGTCAGAGAAATCGCTAAACTTGACATACAGAGGGAACAGTCATTCTGATTGTCTTCTGTAACCCATGCATTCAGTGCACCACATCACATTTCGAGTGATCACATGTACATTTGAAGCAATGAATACAATTATGACGAATAAAGTCAAAAAGATACACTCATCACACCTCTTCTACTCTCACTCACACTCACTGTCACACACACAAACACACGTGTAAAAATATCAATGAAATGGTGATTTCCAATTCATACAATCATCGACGATAGTCTGTTTGCTTGTTTTAATTACAAGATCATTGAATTGCAAAACCCCTGAAAGCGAAATCAATAAAATTCAAACAATCTGTATGTGAATAATGAAACGAGAAATTGTGTAACAGATGGAAGATCATTCGATTATCGAACATTTTTCTGTTTCTCTTATTCTTTATTCACGCATTCATATTTGATGGTGGTTGTTGTGATGTGGGTGTTGAGTATAACAATGGCAAACTCGTAACAACAATAATACAAATACTACTACTAATAATAATATGAACTCTAGTAGTTTAGATATCAAACAGTTACATTTTAAATCATTTCGACTTCATAAATTTTGTTCAATGTGTTTTTTAGTAATTCAAACAAAAACCTCCAATACATGAATAAGATTTGTTTGAATCATAATCAAACATAGAATATTGAATGTAGTAATATGAACTGAATTCAAATTAATCAAACTGCTCATTTCATCTTCAACAACAGAAATATACTCATCAACTCAACTAGATTCAATTATCAATCGTACACTATGCAATAATGAGTAATTCAGAATCAAACTATTTCTTTCAATGCTTTGGTAGTTTAGGTCACACAACTACTGTAGATGAACACAAGTTTAAATCCAGACAGCAGTCAAAGAGTAATTTCATTCTAGTATAGAATACTTCAAAAGTGTTCATCAATGAATAAGTGACCTGAAAGAGTTTGGTTCGATTACTCAGGGTCGGTTGTAAATAGTTCTTCTTAAAACTTTCGAAAATGAATGAATCGTTTGTTCCTGTGCTTCTCAATATTCAGTAAGTGTGAAGGTCAGCTCATTAAGCAAGTTACGAAATGCGAATCCTCTTTAATAACGTTTTTATAGTACAGTATAGGACAGAATTATTATTATTATTATTATAATTACTGTTATATTTATTGAATCAAATAACGGACATAGAAATTCAAGTCTAGTCCTTATTATCAAGGTGTATTTTCAGTTTGTCAGTTTGATTGCATTAGGCCTCTGGCAAACCAAACTATTCATTTTCAGTTATTATTCAAATCAATATCTGTTACAAGCTTCTTCATTATACGAAAAAAATTATTTTGAAAAATCATTCTCTGTTCTGCGTTCTAATTGGTTAATAGTTTACAGGGCACTGATTGGTTGACATAAACTCACGTGTGATCTGTCACTTGTTATTTATATCACTTTGATTAGCCAATGAAATTGTGACATTTTGTCTGTGAAAGCATTGACTCAAATATTTTCATGTGACTATCTATTTGTGTATGAATCTCAAAACTACTGTGAGGGAAATGTGACGGTTTGTATGGTAGTGTGGGTGGAGAGGGATCGATCATGGAACAGTATATAAGAGGACGGTTTGTCAACAGTAATTGGGTCCTTGAACTTGCTTTTTGCGTGATTGTATTTCAAATAATTTACAGCTGATAATCGGGTGAAAATTTGTCCATGTAATATTTTGTTCTCAATAATCAGAAGAGCAAAAACTACTAATTCTAATGTCTAACAACCAACCACAACTTCTGTCACAATCAAATGAGAACTTCAAACCATCAGATTGAAATTGATCGGCAAATCAATGGAATAGTCAAACATATCGTAAACCTCTCATCGATTTATCGAATACCACATACACACGAGTGCAAACACAAAGTTTTATGAATAAATTTGATAAATCTCTCACGAAAAAATTAAAACCATATCACACATCATCCTCACACTCACCCTCACCAGCATCATGTGGAATTACCGATCCAGTGAATCTTACAAGACGTAATGAACGAGAAAGAAATCGTGTGAAATTATTAAACATGGGATTCCATCGTCTACGAGCTGTGGTCCCATGTCGTTCAGGTTAGCAATTGAGTAAAATTTGAACTTTGAAAAAGGCGATCTGGTATAATGAACATTTAGATAAAGTATTACATGAACAAGAGAATTGATGTTCAAATTTCATTTACCAATCATCAACCTCGTCATCATCATCCTGTTCAAGGAATCCATCAATCAATCACGTGAATGAAATGAAAACATGTACCAGTCATAAGCGAAATCAACTCAATCTCATAACCAAATCAGCTGAATTATTTGAAAACAATCAGAATGAAGCAAGATCAGGGACCTCCTGGTCATCTTTCGAGCAAGTTATGTCACCACACAGGAACATATCTATGCTCGGAAGAGGATCAGTAAATCAGTTGTACCCGGCACCGATATTTCCAACTAATTGGCATCCACATATCAATACTTTAAGTAATAACGATCAGAAGGCTGATGATCTTGATATGAAGGAACGCACATCGGCATCATTCATCCATTCAACTCCACAGAACAGACGAGTTGAGAAGACATTCTGTCCCGATTCAAATTCTCCATCATCAACATCAGTATTCTCATTAACTTGTGATGTGTCGAATGATTCCGGTTATCATAATTATCAATCACAATATGAATCATTATTACTGTCGTCTGCACATCCACCTCATTCGATGTTGTCCAAATGAAATAATCCTAATCACAATGCAGGTTGGTGTATGCTGCCTCAACCTCTGAAATAGTCGACAACTTGACACCCAATCATGTTTCTCATTTCCAGTGGTTATTAACTAGTAGGAATAATGATTTCCCTAAATCAAATGTCACTTGAATAACATAATTCTGTTACATGTATTATGTTGGGTTACATAAAACGGTAAGTTCTGATTTGTATGAATAATTTCGTCTGTATTTATGATCAGTTTATTTATTGCTACAAATCAAAAGGTGTTTTGTGATCGTTTGCACTATTTCTTTATCGAAAATCATACTCTTCTTAAGGAGAGCGAGAGGGGGAGAGAGTGAAGAGATTGGAATTTCTTCTTAAGAATTCTATTCATGAATCCTTTTGTTTCACACCTCTCCTATATTGATGATGAGACTGTGAATTGTTGTTTCTATGTTGGTCGCCTGTCGACTATATACCGGTTATTTAGATTGATAGAAATGAATTGATAGTCTGGTGTAAATCAATATTACTTAAAACAGGTATTTGATAACCTTGTAGAGTTAGGGTGATTGAGTTATGAATGTAAAAATTCCACAGTTTATAAATCACCAACTGAACTTGATTAGATCAGCCACAAAAATCTAAAATTACGTGCTAAGCTGTGACAATGTAAATTCAATCAAATCGGAAATGATGAATATTGAACACTGATGTGACCAATGGATGGGGTTGCGCAATAGTTTTGATTGATTAAAATTAGTTATAACCAGCACAATGTTTCAGAAATTAAGTTTTCCCATGCGAGACTGACAGTCATGTTTTCAATGCCCGCATGAGATCGTCGATGCGCACTGCTGAAGTGTACAATAATAGGACAAAATGGCCATCCATTGCTTCCACCTTTCCAATTAAAAGTTAGGGTGTGAAGAGTTGAGCAGATACGTTGATCGAACGTTTTCACAAGTTTGCAGACAGAAACAGAATCGTCTCATCATCATCATCATCATCAAAGAAGGTTGTTTCACACAAATTGTAAACATTTATAATCTTTGAGCAAATGACTGAATTAATAAGCCGTAATTACTTAAAGAAAAATAAATTTGAAGCAGAGAGAAGATAATGTGAGCATTCGTATTAATACTATCATTATTGAAAAGTATTAAAAGTTGAGAAAATGTCGATTTCGGCCGTCAGAATACGGGGAAGTAATAAAAATTCTCCCCCCCCCAATTTCTCTTCTGGTATTCAATCAGTGATGACAGACAATTGATGAATGTATATAGTCAGTCATCTGTGATTAAAATCAGTCAGGAAGAAATTTACGTTTTCGCGGATGGATTGTGGAGATTGTTGAGTTTCATTGAAACGATCGATCGATCAGTGTTAGATCAAAATTAGAAATCTGCAAGCCGTGGATCAGTGTTTCGTCCTACAATGCGACTCATCAGAAGTTCACATACTAATATGCATAATACATTCAGGTGATTAGTCTCAAACATAACGAAGCTTCACATAAGTGTTTTTATCATTGTGATGTACGAGTTTTAAATTCATCCACATTTTTTATATCTTGTTGTCTTTTCTGATTTTATTTCAGGTATTATAACACAACTGAATCACGGTTCACATAAACATCCTCAGTTAACATTGAGAATAACTACCGACCATTCGAAATATAAGTACTCGTTCCCAAAACACTGTAACAAGATCATTGACGGATAATTCCAGAGGGACTGGAACAATAAAGGAAGCCAATCCAATTTGACTGATCAATGAGATTGTTTGTGATTGGTTGTTACTGTCAAATAATCGAATGTTTAGTTGAGGATTTATATTCAAAAATTAATTTTACTGATGTACACTTACACACACATTTTCAGTGTTTGTGTAACGAGTTTATGACTGTTGAGTATCAAAACGAATTCAGATTTTATTGATTTATACTTTTTTCTATCAGTTTATTTTCTGTTAATCTGAAATAAAGTTTCATACTTTTACGAAAAATTCCAGAAAAAACCACATTTGGTTTTTAAAAGATAATAATTTTTTTCAAAATTATTCCAACGTTTCTTCTATGGATGAACATTCTTTAATTATTATCAATGTTCATTTGTTTAATTCGTTTTACTTTTTTCAGTGTTTGTTCGTTTCATTAATTAAAATTAAAAACTTATTTATCCAGGAAACAACATCTTGATTCAACAATCACTAGTGTATACCATGAGTGACTGCAGTATGAACTATTGAATTCCTGGTTGATAGTAGTGAGGCAGTGTCGTCTAATACTGAACACTTTTCAAAAGAGTTCAAATCGATACATATTCTTCCTTATATGAATCATGGACAAGATACTGGTTGCCAGTTCGAATTCAGGTATTCTTAGAAAAGAATGTTCGAGAAATAATCCCAGTATCTTATGAACATCGTTACACAAACAAATTCACTGTTTTATGTACATCCGCTCTATTCTCTTCTCTTCTATTCTATTTACTGATTGATTGACTGATTTAATTATTTTCATATGTTCTATCTATATATGTGTGTGTACATACATCAAAATGAGATTTATTCTTATTTGAGAAATAAATATAATAACATAAAATAAAATAAAATAAAATATAAATCATTCAATGATCAATTCACTTATGCTTCATCATTAAACATTTTTCATTAATTTAAATGGATCAGTTTAAATGTAGTAGCAGGAGTAAATTTTTTCATCACAATCTGTACTAGTTAATGAGATGTACAAATTCACTATCACATAGATGCATGTGTGTGTTTGTATGTGTAGTGTGTCTGTCTATCTATCTATCTGTCTATCGATCGATCGATATGTATGTCTGACTATCTTTCTGTATCGGTGTTTGTTTGTAAGTGATGTTCACCAACATTTAGAAAGAAAAAAGTGAGCAAATCATACATTAAAACAAATCGAACCACGTGGATGCACACATTGAAAAATTCAATGCAATTCAATTACAATTCTTCTCATCAATCAGTTAGGAAAAAATTGAACAGATGGAATTTGTATACACAGATCAAGAGAGCGTGAGAGATCGAGAGACAGAGGCAGAGAGAGAATAGAGAGAGTAAAACATGTAAAACAACACAAGGTTGGTTGGAAGTAAAGGAATTCGAACGGTTTTTACTGATTCATTGAAATATTATTACGGATGGATTGTTTCTTGATTCATTTTTCATTTTCTTTTCTTATAAATAAATAAATGAATTAGAAATAATAAACCAGTTTTATTCATCAGTCAGTCATTAATACAAGAGAAAAAAATCTATCATATGTCACAGTAATTAATATTATTATTATTAATATTATCCCTTTGACAAATATTTTCGCCAGCATTGCATTGACCAGTGAACATTGAGTATCTGCCCACTGCCCACGTGAACCGAAATTTGAAAAAAAAAAGAGGAAAGCACTCATTAATGTGTATCTTTGTTGTTTTTAGTTTCGTTTAAGTGTGTGTGCTCTGGCCTATCTTTCTATCAGTGAAATGATACTTTTGTACGGAAAAACGATTCACTAAATATGTACATATATAAATATATATGTAACATATGTTCGTTAATTTCGCATGACTGTTACAAAATTTACATTTCTAATACAAAAATGAGAAGAAATCATGTTGAAAGTGAGAATATCAAGATAAAAGAAACAAAAAATTGTATTATTACAATATTAATAATAATAATTATAATTATTATTATAACTGCTGTTATTACTATTCAACTGGAAAAGAATTCTTTCTTATATGTAGTTGGAGAGAGAGAGAGAGGGAGACAGATAATCTTATTAGGATATTATAATCTAGGCACATAGATTATACAAAATTATATTGAACAGTTTTTAAATATTTGCTTGTCAGGTTTGATTGTGGCAGAGGTTGTGGTTGATTTTTGGACATTAGAATAAGTAGTTTCTGCTCTTATGATTATTGAGAACAAAATATTACATGGACAAATTTTCACCTGATTATCAGCGGTAAATTATTTGAAATGCAGCCACGCAAAAAACAAGTTCAGGGACCCAAGTACTGTTGACAAACCGTCCTCTTATATACTGTTCCATGATCGATCCCTCTCCACCCAGCCTACCATACAAACCGTCACATTTCCCTCACAGCAGTTTTGGTATGCATGCACAAATTCAGAGTCACATGAAAACATGTGAGTCAATGCTTCCATAGACAAAATGTCACATTTTTATTGGCTAGTCAAAGTGATATAAAATAGCACGTGACAGATCACATGTGAGTGTATGTCATCCAATCAGTGCACTGTAAACCATTAACCAATTAGAATGCAGAACAGAGTGATCTTTCAAAAGTATTTTATTCGTATAATGCGGAAGCTTGTAACAGATATTGATTTGAATAATAACTGAAAATGAATAGTTTGGTTTGCCAGAGGCCTAATGCAATCAAATTGACAAACAGAAAATACACCTTGATAAGGACTCGATTCGAATTTCTATGTCCTTTATTTGATTCAATAAATATAACATTAATAATATCAATAATAATAATAATAATGTTATTAATAATTCTGTCCTATACTCTACTATAAAAACGTTATTAAAGAGGATTCGCATTTCGTAATTTGCTTAATGAGCTGACCTTGACACTTACTGATCATTGAGAAGCACAGGAACAAATGATTCATTCATTTTTGAGAGTTTTAAGAAGAAGTATTTACAACCAACCCTGAATAATCGAACCAAAGTCTTTCAGGTCACTCATTCGTGTATGTACACTTCTGAAGTATTCTATACTAGAACGAAATTATAATATGACTGCTGTCTGGATTTAAACTAGTGTCTATCTACAGTAGTTGTGTGACCTAAACTACCAAAGCATTGATAGAAATAGTTCAATTCTGAATTACTCACTATTGCATAGTGTACGATTGGTAATTGAATCTAGTTGAGCTGATGAGCATATTTCTGTTGTTGAAGATGAAATGAGCAGTTTGAATAATTTGAATTCAGTTCATATTACTACA